TTGTCTTATCACAAGGAAAATGTCCCCTTTCAGAATTGAATCCTAGAGCTTTGGATACCTGCATGCCAATGCTGTTTTTTTTTATTTCACCGCTTGGCTAAGTGGGACTGCAGATTTCATAGATTAATGCGAGTTTGTGGTCAAGTAATCTCTGATTTCATCACTCAAAGGGCTAAACTTACGTTCACTTACATGTACTGTGTTGACATTTTGCCATTTGATTATAATTAGTTCTTATTAACTGAGTGGGAGGTCTGTATGGGAGAATCTTGACCGAGGTCGCCAGCACAGACTGAACGCAGTGAGGTCTGTAGCAGCGACCGAGGTCAAGATTCTCCCATACAAACCGACTCGGTTTATTATATGGTTGTTTCTAGAAAGCAGTGGAACATTATATTCTTTGTAACTTTTTTTCTAGACCAGTCTAGATGCTGGTCTAGATCATAAGATGGGAAAATCTAGACCACTTTCAATATTGATTTCAGCCAATCAAATTCACGAATTTGGTAGTTCCCAGTCCTTGTGAGACACAGCCATATACATGTAATAATTTCTCTATATTTCTCGGTGTGGGTACAGGCTTGATTCATGCTAACCATGGTGGCAAGATTATAGAGTACCTCATACAGCAACTGAAGACTGCAACAACAGATGTAAGTTTTTACTTCTTAAAATCAGAATGGTTACAACTGTGTTGCAGACACAGTAACAGTTTGCTTGGCGATTTTGATGACTTTTTTGTGTGTATCTTAATGCAAAGAGTGTATACAAGCATTTTTTGCACATGTGATGCATGTCTTGATAATTATTTTGAAGTGTTGAAATCACAGCAAGCCGTTTTAGAGGGCTTCAACTCCTAAATAGTTTTTGTAATGGGAAAGGGAGTGTACATGTATCAGGGCTCAACACTAATTGTAGCCAACTAGCCACAGAATGGTAGAAATTCAGTTATGATTGGTGGTTTTCGATTTCCACCGGCCAGTTTGGCTAGCAAAGAAACTGAAATTGTTGTAACATCTAATTTGTCACTAGCCACTTGGCTAGTGAGTTGAAAAGTTAGTGTCAAGCCCTGTGTATGTGGAATCTTTTTACAGTTCTATTGGTGTTGCTCTGGAGAGGTGAAAGAAAATGGTTACCATGATAATGGAAAAGTAGACGATGCGGTGGAAAGCAATGTAGTTCTAGCCAAGAGAAAAACAGGAGCAATTAAATTAATTATTATTAAATGGTGAAGCTAAAACTCTATGACTGCTGAACATTTGACACAAGGCAGTAATTTCAACTCTACTGCACGTGAAGTCATTGTAGATGTTGATGACAATAATTTATTTTGTTTGAATTCAGCTTTCAGATGGTGAGGCATGGAGGGTGCCTTGGTCTTGGACTGGCAGCCATGGGCTCTGCCAGACCAGGTATGGAACCAAGAAAATACTTTCTGAGCTCAGAGGGTTGTTCGGCATAGTGGGAAAACTCAGTATTGAAACTGGTCAAAAATTGGTTTAAAAATAATGAAAGAGGAGTTAAGGCTTTAGTTCGTCCAGGTCTTTCATACAAGGTACAGGGCATAATAATGCTTATGACCAGTACCTTATATCATTTAATGCTGTGACACCTGTAGTATAATTTATATTCCCATGTGCTGTAAATTGTTGGAAATAAAAGTAAATTGTTGGATGTGAAGTTTTTTTTGTCCAATTTTTCAGATGTCTACGAGCAGTTGAAAACACAGCTTTGGGAGGACGATGCTGTTACAGGTTTGTGGGTCTTTTGATAGCTTAGAATTATTTTCTTCATATATCGTGGATTTCCTCCATGGTTTGACTCACAGAACGAAAAGAGAGTCCTAGAGAATCTGCTCTCTGAAGAACTGAACGTGTAACATCCACACATGAAATGCAATTTCATTTTTACGCCGATGACACTCAATTGTATATTTCTTTCTCTACAAACAACGATATGGAACTAACCCACTCTATTGTTAAGCTTAAGGATTGCCTGTCCGACATTGATAAATGGATGTCCATCAACGAACTAAAACTGAACAAAGACAAAACCGAGATTCTCTACTTATTCTCAAAGTATAATCCACAGCAATCCCAACCCCCACTTCGCTTTGGAACCGACATTATCTTCACATGCTAGAAACATTGGCGCTCTCTTCGATACCACTTTGTCGATGCTTCCCCATGTAAACAGCGTCTGTAAATCTGCCTTTTATCATCGTACTATTTCGCGTATTAGGAAATACTGATATGTATCAACGCAAACTACAGAGATTCTTATCCATGCTTTCATAACTTCCAAGCTCGATCAGTGCAAGCTCGATCAGTGCAAGCTCGATCAGTGCAAGCTTGATCAGTGCAATTCTCTACTATATAATGTTCCTAAATATATCATCAAAAAGCTTCAATCAGTGCAGAATGTAGCTGCCAGACTGATTACACGGTCTAGGAAGTGTGATCACAAGTATCACTCCCATCCTCCTCGATCTTCACTGGCTACCTGTCACTGAACAAATTAAATTCAAGATTCCACTACTTTCAAAGCACTGCATCAGCAAGCTCCAATCTATATTCAAGACCTTATCACTCGCTACTCACCTTCTAGATCGCTTCGTTCATCCTCTACGCTCAATCTAAATCCTGTTAGTTTTAACGTGAAGACCTATGGTTCTAGAGCATTCTCCGTTTCAGCCCCTGAACTCTGGAACAAACCACCCAGCAATATACGCTCATGCGAGAACTTAAGTCTTTTTAAGCATAAACTTAAAACCTACCTTTTTGAGAACTTTTATTTTAGCCATTAGGAAATAGACTTTACATGTTTTTTACTTCAATTTTAAGTTTAGTTACTCTTATTAACTTTAATTTTAAATTTCCTCTCACTTGTTAAGTGCCTAGATCTATCATGGGATAGGTGCTATATAAATATCATTATTATTGGTATTGTTATTATTATTATTATTATTATTATACACAATTAATAAATCTTTCCACTCTGTAAGGAAAGAAAAGAGTGTTCGTGGTCATGTTTGACTTGAAGATAAATTATTTTGTGTAAGCTTAGGCCTGTTGTAAGCCTATAACACTTTTGGTACTTCGGCCAAACACTTGCGGAGGTGCTCAGCGTAGGAAGATTTCTCGTCAAGACGATGTAGTGCATTTGATAGCAGATAGTTAAGTTTATTGCGGTGTTTTATGTTACAGGGGAAGCTTGTGGCCTAGCCATGGGTCTTGTGATGCTTGGATCAAAATCTGCTAAAGCTATAGAGGAGATGGTTGGGGTAAGCTTGTATCTGTTGTAACAGGCCACTCCACCAAAAGAGGGCTAATTCATTGAAAGGCGTTAATAATAATAGTAATAATAATAATAATAATAATAATAATTATACTATTAATAATAATAATAATAATTAATAATAATCTTTATTAAGCAATAGTTTCCATAAATTAATAATAATAATAATAATAATAATAATAATAATAATAATAATAATAATAGAACTACGTTCCTTTGTGAGGGCTTGGTCGAGAGAGGGTGAGGAGAGAAGTGAGTCCACACGTGATCCTGGATGGTCACCTACATGTAATGAATACACAGTATTCTTTAAAATCATAACGTTAAAAAACGAACACAGGGTTTCAACCAAAAGAAACCTTACGCTTTGTAGTCCAAACGAGTTACGATGGAAATACATTTTTTGTTTTTATTTTTCTTTAAGAGGAGAGAAACCGAGGCTTTTTAGAACATCGTGCTTCCTCTTGTTACAAATTTGTATCATTCCTTTTATCTCTGATGAATGACTTTGTTTTAGATGACATGTAATTGTCTATGCATAACTTGGTGTCTACGTTTTTCGCAGTATGCTCAAGACACTCAACACGAGAAAATCCTCCGTGGGCTCTCGTTAGGAATTGCATTGGTAAGTTAAACCTAATAAATTACTTATTTACATTGTAGCTTCCTTTTTGAGCCACGGTTATGGGAACAGGTTTCATAATGGCTCTAACAGGCCATCAAAAAATCAGGGAGATATCAGGGATAAGTCAAGGGAATTTGATTTGTAATCCACCGATTTAACAATAAGGATGATACGGGGAAGCTTGTTCGGTTACTCTGAACCAAACGATAAATTGTTTTTCGTATATGTGAAATTTTCGAAATTGTTTTTCCTTTGACGTTAGTTCGATTTGTTTTGTGTTTGGTTCTGAGTAATTTCTAATCGGTAGTATATTTCGTTATCGGAAAACGGAAGTAGTTGATCAAAAGGGAAGCGAATCGTTTGTTAATTGAAAGTAACTTGTAGACTTTCGGCTTCAGACCTCCGTATAACTTAAACAGAAGAGAGTCTTGCGGAAGCGCAGGTTATCAATGGGTTGATCAGTATCGATACCGAAAAGTTCTTAAGGTAGACGTTCTATTTTGCAGGTGATGTATGCAAGGATGGAAGAAGCTGATACGCTCATTGAAAGCTTAATGCAGGACAAGGACCCTAACTTAAGGCAGAGTGGCATGTATACAGTAGCAATGGCCTACTGTGGCACTGGAAACAACAAAGCCATCAAAAGACTTCTTCATGTCGCTGTAAGCACACGTTGTTGTAAATTTTTTTATATGACACTGTCACACAACTGCCATGTCCTTTGTTAAAAAAAAAAGGAACTTTTATACAACAGTGTCGCACGACACGACCTCACATGCTTGTCGGGTCCTGTATATAATGATGTCACGCAACGGTCTTGTGTGTTAAGTGCTGTCACACAACAATGTCGCACGACACTGATACACACCACAATTTTTCTTCCTTTGTCCCACGCTCGTGACAAGACGAAAAACGTCTTTCTCTAAATATCCTTGTATATACTGTAGTATTGTAACCCGAACTTTCTTGAGCAAATACGTGAAAAAGTCTTTTTACAACAGGTCAGCGATGTCAGTGATGACGTAAGAAGAGCAGCCGTGACTTCACTAGGTTTTCTCCTCTTTCGGTAAGCTTTATGAAAAAAGATCGCATTTCATCGTTTATAGAAGTACAGTTTGTTTCCGAGTTGGTTACATGCAATGTATTTGAACAAGAGACTTTCATATAGTAGTGCAGCTCAGGTCATCGTGTTCTTGATGAAGACAGATTTCTCTCGCAGTTCGTTATCTGCTAAGGGAATTGTTTAATTTAACAGCAGATTCTCAAAGCTAACACTACAACAGAAGTAAAGCACACAGTGTGGAGAATTGATATAGAGATCTTGGGAAATAAATAGGGTAAATTACATCGCAAGGGAACTTGTTAGAACATGTCTCTCAACCTTGTAGAACCCCAGAGCAGTGCCCAAGTGTGGTGTCCCTGTTGTCAGAGAGTTACAACCCTCACGTGAGATATGGAGCTGCTATGGCCTTGGGTATTGCCTGTGCAGGCACTGGATTAAAGGTAATTTAACAGACATATCAAAACTGATCGTATTAAATTGTAACACTGATCGTTAAATCCATAAATAATAAGAAAGAGTAACTGGTAATTTTAATGTGCTGCTGTAGGCCATCGAACTTTGGCGAGGTCTGATTGGGGTTTTTCGCGTGTAGACAAAGATTGAATGAGAAATTCCTATTGAACATCAAGTGGTGAAAAAATCCGAAGTTGCAGAGGGGAGAATAGCTGAATATTTGATGAGCACTGCCAAGGAGTCGAACACTAGACAACCGAGAACAAATCTGGTTCTTACCTGGGTGGAAACTATAACCAAGGATCACCAGATTTTAATACAAACTCCCTAAGCAATGTGGCAAGCTGTCTGCTAACCTACTGTAATTTTCTAAATGGTGTACAACCATACGCTTCCTTGAGGCAACCAAGAGAAAAAATCCTAAGATTTTGATGAAGCTGAAGACTTGAAAAATCCTTTAGTGTCTCTTGGTCGATGTCGAAGAAGCTCGATGGTCGTGTTCTTTTACTCCTTTATGTATTCATTTATTTAATTGTTTATTTGTTTATCATTTTTTAAAGGAGGCAATTGCTCTACTGGAGCCCATGACAAATGATCCTGTGAACTATGTGCGTCAGGTAAGAGATCTTGGGAAATAAATGGGAAATAAATAAATGGGAAATAAATAAATGGGAAATAAATAAATGGGAAATAAATAAATGGGAAATAAATGGAGTAAATTACACAACTGAGTTGTGTAAATCATGCATCGAAACGAGTGGACAAATAGTGAGTCGTTATCAAACAGAGCCGATTAGATGAAACTTCAGGACGGAAAAATCACTGACGCACAATTTTGTGTTTTAGTTTTTACTATTTGATAGCCCAGGATCTTAAATATCTGTTTTTGTTTCACTAGGGGGCTTTAATCGCCAGTTCGCTGGTTCTCATTCAGCAGACGGAACTTGCCTGTCCTAAGGTGATGAAATTCCGTGAAATCTTTGCAAAGGTGATCAGCGACAAACATGAAGACGTCATCGCTAAATTTGGTGCTACCCTAGCTCAGGGAATCCTTGATGCAGGTGAGTATTTCCACAACGCTGGTGACTGTATTTCGTGCATTTTGTATGGTGCTCGCGTGAAAACGTCGCCCATGCACGTTAGGACATCCTTTTCCAATAGCTAATACACAATACGAAACGATTTTATTAGATTTTCCGCCGTCAAATGTGACAGTAAAACACGTTCCCGTTTCAATTTGCCCCATTCTTGTACTTACGTTGAATATTGAACTTTCCAACAGAAACTTTCAGTTCATTTTGACCGACGTTTTTTAAAAGGAGAGTACAATGTTTTATAAAAATATCGTGTAGACATGAAGAAATAAAGCGTCGTAGAAATTAATTCAATTTTTTTTTTTTTTGTACTGTTTTTTTCATACTAGGTGGACGGAACGTGACCATCTCGCTTGAGTCTCGCGCGGGTCACACGCACATGGCAACAGTTGTAGGACTGTTTGTATTTACACACGTGTGGTACTGGTTCCCACTCTCTCACTTTTTATCCTTGGCTTTTTCACCCTCGTGCATCATTGGACTAAATTCGGATTTGAAGGTAAACCCGATCCCCTTTTCTTTAGTAAGAGAAGCAAGTGTAGACAGAAGTATTTCGCTGGATTTAGCTTTAGATCCAAGGTTTTTGCCTATCTGTTAAAAGAGCATGGCCTGATTTGGATTAGGGATGCAATTTATGCAATTAGGAAAAAAGGGCTAGTATAATGAACTTCACAACGCTAAAGTAAGGTCTTTACTAGCTGAACAACGAAGCAACCGACATTGGTAACAGTTCAGGTTAAGGTTTATGTCTTTCTAAGGCACAGATGTAAATAAACCATTGATATGAAAAGTTTTACGTCGCAAACAAAATAACGAGAATGGTCCTCGCTGTAAGTTTTGAATTTGTTCCTCTTTAGGTAGTCACTAAATTTATATTGTGGCCAAGAGAATAATCTCTTGGCCTTGGTCTTGGCCTAGAATTTTACGCTACGTAGGCTCGGTGTGGATTTAAAACAAATGCACTACTGTAAAAGTTTTTTTTTTGGTCTCTAAATTTTTCGCGTTTATATTGTAGATGCCCAAAATGCAGTTCAGATCCAACGTGAAGCCATCAATGTACGCTTACCCTGAACCACTGAAGCCTCCTAAGAAAGAAGAGAAAGAAAAGGTATGTTTGTATGACGAATATCAGGTTTTCAATGTGTTATCCTCTTCTAGAAAAAGACAAAATCAGTGCTTCATCTTTCAACGTGGTAAGATCTTCTTTGGATTTGATTTTCGAAGGCTTAAAGTTGGAAGGAAAGTTCGTGTTTTGGTATTGCTTCTTGCCGTAAGCCGCAAATGTTCCGTTTCGTCTCCCTCTAATTTTGCGTGTGTCTCACAAGAGTAAAGGCGTCTACCGGTAGATAGTGTTAAGTTTAACCCACTTCTGTTTCGTTCCAAGGTCACTACAGCTGTGCTGTCCATCACAGCCAAGGCTAAAGCCCGAGCAAAGAAATCCGAGGCATCCGAAGACAAGATGGACGTGGTTAGCAATTCAGTTCGTTTTTGATTCTGAACATTTGTATCTTCGCTTTATTGAAATTTTTTTCGAGGCTTCAAGACGGTCATGATTGTTTTGTCCGTGGTTGTTTACTCTGAGACGGCGCGCTCTTCTGTTTAGTTTTTGCTCCTTCGTGCCCGTTCTTCTGACCAACGAAGAAATAACCTATTTCTATTCTTGTTTTATTTGTTGCTCCGCCAGGATCAGGAAGCAGACAAAGGTAAAGGTTCATCAGCTAAAAAGGTGAGCAGCAATCGATTCATTACATTTTTTTACTTATTTTTATTTTTACTTGAGGTAATTGTTATACAAAAGACTCCACAGAATGGAGCTCTGAGCGATGGCTGGATCACTGTGCTGTGTACATGAGTCGTTATAGTCCCCCCCCCCTACTCGAGAGTTTAAGTGGGTACCAACTAACCGTCGGGAGCACTGAGGGGGGGGGAGGGGAGGGTTCAGAAAAGAAGTAATGCTGGTAGTCACTTTAAATCTTAGAAACCGGGTGGACGTCAAGCACGAAAATCTTGACGGCTTATATTTTTGCGAATTTTTGGGATTGTTTCGGTGCGCAAAACTAAGTCCCATCACATCAAAATTCCCTTAAATATAGCATCACTAGCATTTAGTAACGTTGGAAAATGAATAATTCTGCGCTTGAATAAGTTACAATTTGCATGTTTTGTGTTCGGACTCTCCCGAAATATCCATCGCGGAGTCCTCTACCCTGCAGCTTCCCTTTTAATAACGAGAAAAGCATAACAGTTAGAAGTTTCTTTCTTCGTTATCATTCTGTTGGTTTAACAGAAAAATCGCAGAAATTAGTAGCCGACAGAAACTTCTACCACAAAACCACCGCGAAACAAAAAAACTCCTAATTCGAAAATGAAACTCCCGCAGAACTTTCTCACCTCTCGGTAAGCCCCCAGCAGGATCGGCCACGGGGCTTAATTCATTTTTCCAAATGTTAAAACATTTTGCAGGAGAAAGAAGGTGAGAAAGACAAGTCCGAAGAAGAATCAACAGTTGAAAAGAGCGAAAAGGAGAGTAGCGAGAAAATGGAGGAAGACGAACCTGACTTTGAATTGTTAGAGAACCCAGCAAGAGTTCTACCCGCACAGGTTTGTTCAGTTAGGTTTTTTTTTTGTTTTTGTTTTGTTTTTTTTTGTTTTTTTTGTTTTTTTGTTTCTTTGGTGTTTTCGCATTCCGAAAACGGTTGATTTGATAACACTGAAAGTATTTTGAAGCTTCACGTTGCTAAACAAAGACCATTATCGAGTTTCCCGCGTTGATTGCGGTTTTATGTTTGTGTTATTTATCGCTTCCATGCATCAGAACACTTTAAAATCTTCCATCTGTGATCCGCACCGCAGGTTGGGTGTTTTATTTTGTCCTATGATCCCTCTTCAAGCGTGAAATTATTTTAGATTTTCGTTGTTATTTTGATTTAAGATAGACATTCAGGTGCGATAGAGTGCAAATTGTGAACTCGTGTGGCAACAGGCTATATAAATGGTGTTCTACCCTGGCAAAATGTAAAACTGATGTTGTTAGCAATAAAACATTAACAACTCAGTGAAGATTGTTTTCTCCCTTTATTACATCCATTTTGAAATCACTGGTGGTCCCTTTAATATGATTGGCTCTAATTAGTGTGATTTATTCACGAATTGCACCATTTTTTGCTCTAAATCGCATCATTTTACGCTTGACTGAGTTTTTGACACATGACGTCAAAGTTTTTCCGTTTTGCATAGAAAGTAAGATGTAAAAGCGTTTCCGGTTCCGCTTTTTATTTAAAAACCGGCTGAGTACCGCATCAAAATGGACGTAATAAAGTGGTAATTGAACCTCGTGTCGTGCAATTTTGGTCTGAAATCATAATTGTGATTTCAAATCACGTGTACGATTTCAGCCCAAATTGCTCTCCACTCAGTTCAATTACCATTATTAATCAGCATGTGTTCTTGTTTTGGTGCGTTAGATAGCCGTTAACTATTTCCATAAAGTGGTGTATTTTTATGCCTTCAAATTTGACCCCATCATAAGTCTTGCTGCACTAAGTTTGGTCACAACTCAATGTTTTATATTCTACATCGTCGCGGCTTCAATGGATTCCAATTTCCTTTTAAGAAATAATGTCTTTGACATTTTTATATAGTGCGATGCTAACATCTTTATTTCCGCAGCTCAAGGTTATCTCCCTACCAGGGGGCAGCCGATACATGCCTCTAAAACCGGTAAGCTTTACTTGAAGCTCGTAATTAAAGTTACTCGAAAATGGTGTTTTTCTTTTGTTTTAAGAAGTTAAGGAGAACTCGGACACGTTCTTTCTCCCAAGCCCCTACTGAATTTCACTCAATATTTCCCCCCAAAAAAATTTAAACTTTTTTTTTTTTAATCCGTTATACCTTCACGTCAATGTACATATTCTCCATACTGTTCTCAAAACATTTCCCCTAAGGTGCTGACAAAGAGAATGTGTTTAACAATCAAGAGCTTTTTCAGTTGAAGATCATTTCCTTGCTTCTTGTGACCTCATTGTGTGACGTGGAGGGTGACATCGTTGGGAGAGTTTAGATGCTAGTTAATGAGTAACTCCTAGTGGAGAGAGATATTTCAAATAAGTTGTTGGTTATAGCTATTCCTTCAGCATCCTGCCCATGGTCTCATAATTTTTTTTTCCGTCTTTACTGCAGGTTAACATCGGAGGAATTGTGATGATGACTGATTCCAAATCTGATGAACCCGAAGACTTGATCGAACCTCTTCCCGGTAATAAATCTCTCAGTAACTTACAGAAATTTGCTACCGCAGTCGAACCGCCCGTCAGCGGACGTTTTTTCAGGACAGGATTAAGTGTTTAGTAGCGCATTTTCCTCCACTGATGATATTTAACAATTATTCGCCGAAGGCGAGGTGGATATCGTCGAATAATCCCCGAGACGAAGTCGAGGGGATTGTTCGACGATATTCACCGAACCTGAGGCGAATAATTGTTTTAGTTTAATTTCAGACCTGAACAACAGAGAAATTTCTAAAATCATAACATTTTAGTAACATTTAGTAACATTTCATTTTAACATTTTATATAAACCGCGTGGAGCGGTTTATATAGCGTCATATAAGGAACCGCTCGACCAATCAGATTGCTGGAAACTCTTTGCTCAGTTCTGAAATTAAAACAAAACAGACATTGCACAGGGTCAACTGTGTATCACCGAGAACCCACCAATCAGGCCACAAATAATGTTACACTTATGCGTGATACGGTTTATTTATTTAAGTGTTGAGTACAGTACAAGGTTTCTACGTACTAGGCAAATAAACAATAGGACTCGAGATCCTCCTACGAGGTCTAACTGAGTCTCGCAGTGTTTCGCGACTCTGGTCGCTGCCTTTAAGCTGTGAGAGGGTGATTACAGAAAGTAATTGGGAACAACGATTTTGTCCCATAGATGTTGGAAAGTAATGAATACACTTACTTCTTGCACTTATCTGTGTTCGGTTTTTCTTTTTTTACCGTTGTTTTATAATATAATTATTCTCCTCTTCCCTTCATTAAATATTTATCCCCAATTCATCAATGTATCTTCCAAACATTGGTCTCGTTAACAGTCAGCTTATTTCAACGTGTTTCTCTCTCAGCTTCTTCACCGATGGGTATTGGCGCTGAAGAAGAGGAAGACGAGCCAGAACCGCCAGAGCCTTTTGAATACATCGACGAAGATTAAGCAAAGTTTCAACTTCAGACATAGTGCCGCTTATTTCGTATCTTAAATTAATTTTGATAAATGTTGCAAAAGAAGAAGTGTAAAAGGTCGCACTCTAGGCCTTAACCTGAAGATTGAATGTTGGAGAAACCATGTACAGTTCAATAAACAGTAACACCTGAATTTAAGACTTCTTCTATTAAACTAATGGATAGTATTGTAGTGGATCAGTCGTGACAGTTAGCGTGACGGTGACGTGACAATTAGCGCGTTGGACTTATGGTCGAGATGCCCGGATTTGAGACCTGGCTAGGTAATTGTGTTGTGTTCTTGCACGCAAGGCATTACTCCCACAGTACCTCTCTCCGCCCAGGAATAGAACAGATTACCTGCAAGCTGTCACAGAAGCCAGAGGAGAATGACCTTAGTTTGGCAGATTTTACAAATCGTCTGTAGCTAGAAATCCAGCCTTCTTGTACTCTAGTGTAGCAAACGCAAAGTCGAATAGCTTTCACGTCGGGGCTCCACCCCAGACCCTCTCACTTCCAAGATCTCTTTAGTAATTCTCTCTACTTTCTGTCTTACAATTCATGTGATGTTACTTGGAGAATTTGGTCTTGGATCAACTAGGAATACCTTAATTGATGTTTTTCTCCATTCACATCACTTTGCTTGAAATTGTATTGAGTTTGGTCTTGGTCACTCGTGGAGGTGAAAGGGTAAGATATGATGCGCAGCATGCCATTCAGTTTGGCCTTTCGCTTCTGTAAACGAGGTGTTACTGGATTTTTGCAGTACTGTCAGGCAGGAGATGCAAGCTATCATTTTCGCACTGCCTTTAAATAGTGACTCCTGGAACTGAGGAACTCGTAAAACTCCACGCGGTCGTCATGATTCACGTCCAAGACGTCAAACAGCGCCCTAAGCTGATGATCTTTGAGGGGTGCGTTGAGTTTCTTCATTCCGGTAATAAATTCATTTTTGGTGACGGTCGTTGAGTTTCCATCCTTTGCCAACATTCTGAACAAGTCTATCAGACGAAGGCCTCGCGTTCGAACAAAGGTGAGAAAAATTTCCACGGCATCTGGCTTTTTTTTCTTACCGTTGATAGCGTGTCCTCCTCTGATACTCACATCCCAAGAGCAGTTGAAGTTTGGTCTTTCCTGGAGCAGAGCGTCCAGCTCCCTTTCGCATTCCTTGTCAAACACCACATCGTCTAGAAGGAGCTCTCGCAAAGCGCCCGTCTGGTTGCATCTTATACCGCGGAGAAGTGAACCTGCGCCGGAGCTTTGAAAGGGATTTTTACCTATACTTAACACCTCAAGGCTTTGATTCTTCTTTAGGGCGTCAGCGATCTTGAAGACCCCAGCGGTATGAATTCCGCAACTTTGCACCTCCAATACTTTAAGACAATGATTTTGCAGCAGAGCCGAGCCAAGACGATTCGCTCCTTCGTCCAAGAAACAGTTCCAGGAAAGTTCCAGCTGTCTTAGTTTTTTGTTCGTCGCGAGTCCCTTGGCAAGCTCCTCGATGCCAGATACGCGAATGTTGTTCCAGCTAAGGTCGAGAAATTCTATCTTTTGATTTTTGGAGAGCGCACGGCCCAAGTGAATGGCGCCTTCGTCTCCTAGATCGTTATAACTGAAATCCAAGCTCTTCAAGTAGGGATTGCAAGATAAGGCTTTCAAAAACTGCTTTATATCCTTACCAAGAATTCCACAACCGCTTAAGTTTACTTCCTGAAGAGAAGCGTTTTCCAACAACATGTCCCCAACTGCTCTAGTGCCCAGCCTCCCAATTTTGTTCTCCGAAATGTCAAAGTTCAGTACGAAACAGTTGTCTCTGAGCATTCTGGACAAAGCAATAGTTCCCGTTTCCCCAATCCCGTTGTCATGGAGATATAGACTTGTCACCACTATGTCTTTTTCTAGCGCCATAGCAATTGCCTGGGCGCCGATATCTCGAATTCCGTAGTGTTTGAGATCTACATGGCCTTTTGTAAATTGACGAACAAATTTGGCCACAGGAACAGTGTTCAGGGCTTCGCAGGCATCAAAATATCGCTCCACGGTTGGCTTGTTGGGTTTGCTTTTCCGCGAGTTATTAACCTCAATTTCGTCCTCGAGGTCGGTCTCAAATTCTTGATCATCCGAGAAATATGTCACATCTTTTTTAACATTTGTAGCTGATTTAGACGCTCTGTTGGCTGCCATCGCTTTGGACAAAATTCAAGGCGATCGTAACAAACAAGAAAAAATCGTTAAGAAGGAATAACTCCCTAAAAGCTGCAACACCTGAGTATTATCCGATCAGACAAATTCACAATTTAAAGCAAGCTCGTCCACCTTTTTTTTTTTTGGCAAAAACCCTCTGTTTGGCGGTTGAAATTTTTTTTTGTTTTCCTTCTGTTCTAATTAAGCTCCTTACGAGTGGATTCTGTGATCAAAACAAGTAATGTGGTGAATTTTCCAGATGAATTGAATCCCAGGTGTCTAATTGCACTCTTCCTACTGGCGCATGCATCTGTGATATTGAAACTGATTATGTCCTTTTCGTGCTCAGTGATCACGAAAAACTTTGATACAATCTATTTTCCGTTTTATTATCGTAGGGAAAATGTAAGTATATGTTTTAAATAATGGATAAAGATAACAGACATTGATAAAATATTAACTGCTGCTTTGAAGCGTATCAGTTTTAAAAACTTTTAAAAAACCTAATTTTTTCATTTTTTTATTAAGAAAATATAGTTGAATTAAGATGGACGCTTACTGGGTGGGATAAAATTATCTACATTTCATATCTAACGTTTTCAATCGAGATATTTTATAAAATTTATCGAGAGAGACTATTATATTAGGACGTGCAATCGTTAATTTTGTGTCGCAATTTTACCGTGAATCCAACAACAATCGTTTTGCCATAAAATTGTTATGACACCAATTTTTAAAATTTGGCCTTAACATCCGAAAGCGGTCAGATTAATGAAGTTGTAAAGAAACCTGGTTTACATTTACGAGGCACGCACGTACCTGAGCATAACAGCGAGCGAAAAGTTTTGAAACCGTTGCACAAAGTTTGTTTGAGTGAAAAGAGGAGATACTTAAAGCGAATGCCACGCAAAAAAAAAAAAAAAAAAACAGGGAAAAGAAAGTTGAAATGTTAATAAAACTCTGCAATATGAAACAAAAGTACAGAAAAGAAAAACACAAAAATTTACCTTTCTATTTTGAGCTTTACCTAAAAATTTGACGCTTTTAAGACGCCGCGGTTTTTTGGTTTGTGTAATCGTTTGAAACTTTTGTGAGACAACTTGGTTTGAAATCCAGAAAGCACCCGCTGCTATACTTGAGCCACTATAAGGTAGGCTTTTGTACATTATGCTAGCATTTTTTCGAGCATTTTAGTGAGGCGAAAGCATTGAGCATAATTCGAGCATTTTAGTGGCATTTTCCCGGAAAATTAATTTTTTGCGAGAAAATAAAATAGAAATTAACTCTTTTCAGTCCCGGTTTTAATTCACGAAAAAACCTGATACAGCTGAGTGGAGACTGAGGAAAAGTCAGCGGTTTTACCTTTCAAGACTCAAAAGGCGGCCATGTTTGTTTTCTTCGTGACCCGTGTAAGTTACACGGGTCACGAAAAAAACATAAACCTGTAAACGTTGTCGTTACTTGCAACACTTGTACGTAAGTGTAAACTTTCAAATTAATTAAAAAAAACCTTTGTATAATGAGCATTATCCGAGCATTTTAGTTACTTTTTTGGGGGAGACCGAGCATTTTAGTGGGAAAAATGGAGCATTAAGGTGGAGCATTTTAGTGGGGAAACAAAAGCATAATATAAGGTTTCTGCATGCAAACCAGGACGAGACAGGGATATGATGCGCTACATTCTAACGACCTAGTCCTTTTTGAAAGGGTTCTTGGTAAATTTAGTGAGCAGCAGTATTAAAATTTATAATCATAAAGAATGGTCCTAACCAACGCTGATACCTAAAAAGGGATGCACATAGCCTAGCCTTCACATTACCGTATGTCCTCGCGAATGAGCGACCAGGCACTTATATGAAGTTTCGGTCGAAAGAAGGGGGGGAGGACTTAATCGGAGGGGCGCTTATTACGCTCCTGCACTATTTCCGCTGTAGATGGAGGTTAAAAAGTTACAAATAAAGTAGCATTAGAAACAAGGTTTTCCTTGTATCCCTACTATTCAAGACAGCGAAGGGGAGGGGCATGCACAAGGGGGCGCTTATTCAAGAGGCGCATGTTGAACATTATGGCCTAGGGGGTGTGCATTTAATCGGAGGAGGGCTCCTATCAGAGCGTGCGTGGGTGCTTATTCGAGGAAATACAATAGGTTCTCATTGGACTTCAGAAGACTAACAAGAGTTTTGAAGAAGACTCAAAGCCACAAAAATCGAAATTCCCTTCTGTTTCAGTGCTTGTCTTCTATTGTTGTCACGAAATTGACGGCTACTTGTCCGAGAATAGATGTTTTTGAATGGATGCTTTATATTTTGTGCCGTTGTAAGGAACGATAAACAGGCCATTCTGGCCCCCCTGCGATAAAAATTCGCTTAAAAACATGTTTCAGAAGCAGTTTTGAATACCATAGTGAACTTAACTATACAAGAAATTCGTGTAGAGAGTTGTTAAGGTCAGTGTTTTCGTTTTCTTCACCATGCGCCATCTCAGCGGTCAAATTTCTACGCATGTGCGAAAGACTTAGTGACTCAAGGTAAGTTCTTAAACGGGTTACCAAAAATCACACAAACCAATAAATCATCGCCCTTTGTAAGGCTTAAAACAGAATAGTAAATTGGCATGTTTTCCTTTTCTATCCTTTTGTTTCCTTTTACAGAGTTTTATGGACATTCAATTTTCCTTTCCCCCCCCCCTTTTTTTGCGTGAGAACAGTTGCTTCCTATCTTTTCCTTCGAAATTTTGCCGCGCGGATGGCCAAAATTGATCTCCTCGCGCATGCCCTACGTTTGACCGCTGTGTTCCAGTGATCGCACATCCTATAAATGATTCCATAGTTGATGACAGATACTATCTTATTACTCAATAAGCCCAATTCAAAATTTTATTCACTACTTTCTATTCTAGTCTAAAGTAGTGTCTCCGAACTATAAATGCCCTTACAATGACTATGAACTGTTCTCCTCTATGCACTCGACCTCACCGACGAAGTTCGTAACATCTACATCAAATAATTCTACTGATGTGTAACTAAAGGGTCGAGAACCATTGGGACCGGAAGAAGTCCTGCCATTCTTTCAAAACATTATATGTGTTTTCGTCACGAGGTAAAACTCAGAAAGTTTTTAGGGGTATGTCTCCGGCTTGAGAATTTTGTGAGGTGGTGGAGCTATGCTGGTTTGTTTTGTTTGAGGTGGTGTAGCCGTGACCATCGGGGAGCACTTAGTACTTCCACGGATTCGTTCCATTATTCTTTGCAGCGTATGGATGCAGCCTTGGCTACCACATTGACGCTGCAGCCGAGTCATGATCTTGATATTCTTTCCTAAGAAGAGCAATTTCAGAAATTATCTTTTTTTCCCACCTATTCTTACAGCTTTTAATTATTTCATCTCGTCGTTTAGATATATTTTGTACTTAGATATTTGCCTCGAGATATTTGTTCTAAGTTAAATCAGACCCACGCACACTCCTCATTTGGTTAGATAAATATCTGAGAATTCGATATCGTGGCGTAGAATCTGTAGCATCAAGTTACCAACAAGATCAATTCTATCTTATCCACACGTGCATTTCCGCGCAGCGGAGGCCTACCATCACTTTCAGATATCCCCAGAGAAACGAAGTTTTTTCCAACTAATCCTCGTGATTAACTTTGCGACACCTGAACTAGGGGTTAACTATACCCCCCGCTACTTTTTATTTATTTATTTATCATTTGCTTTTATTACGTGCGAGGTGCGGTGGTCTCATGGCTAGTGCGCTCGACTTCGGATCGAGTGGTCCGGATCGATGCGCGGTGCAGGGACATTGTGTTGTGTTCTTAGGCAGGACACTTTACTCTCACAGTGCCTCTCTTCACCCAGGTATTTAAATGGGTACTGGAAAATTTAATGCTGGGGGGGGGGGGTAACCCTGCGATGGACTGGCATCTCATACAGAAAGGAGTAGAAATACAAATAATAAAGGCTGATAGTTTCGAAAGAAACTGTTTGGGGCAGCGTCGCTGGGAGTAACGAAAAACCCCTAGTCGCTACCTTTATTATATGTCAAAAGGGGAACAAAGCTAATGTACAACATGGGAAATATAATATAGGAAAAGGAAAAGACGAAGATGTCTCAAGAAGCCACGAAAACTTATAGGTAAGGCTCCCTCTTTGAATTAGAGTCTACGTTAAAAACTAGAGTGTAGAATGTAAAATTGACACGTGTAAAGTACTAAGAAGACTTGCTTACTTAATAACCTTGCTTTAAAATTCATTGAGTATTTTGCAAATTAGTTAAATAAGATTAAAGTAAGTTGCGGAATAGAGTGACCAAGGATGTGAGGCTCTCTAAGAGAAAGTACTCGTTGGAACTGTTCAATGAAGTGAGGGATTGTAAATCATACCGGAAGTTGGTAAAAAATACCACCAACAGCCAATCAATTGCCACGACACTGAAGATGAGAAATGCGGAAGGAAGAGTTGATACCTCCGACCTGGACAAGGCGAACATACTAAACGAGCATCTCTCAACTGTTGGCAAGAAATTAGCCAACGAATTGGCGTTACCAACTTGACTCAAAGTGAAGTTCATCTTTCTATCGTCACACTTACACCTTGTAATATGAGCATAAATTTATGGATGTAGACAACTGACTGCGCCAAAAGAAGCTGTTAAGATGGGTAATTATGTTATCGAGGAGGCTGTATCTACAAGATGCTTAGGTGTCCAGATAAACAATGCTCTTACATGGGATCATCATGTATCGGAACTAGCGAAGTCGTTCACGCAGAAGTTGAACTTACTGACTAACTGTACTTCTTGCCTAAACAGGCGAGAATTGATTTCTATTTTAGGGTTTAGGGTTATTTTGCCCTCTGTTACGTATGGTATGTTAGTTTGGGGCTCTTGTGGTCAAGTACTTTTTCTCAAACCTAGAATCTGTGCATGTCAGAGCGGCAAAATAATATTTTACTTAGGTTGGTGTACGGCAAGCAAGTAGGTTCTTGCCAGAGCAAAATGGAACACTTTGAAGATTATATATGAGAAACGATTATTAATTTTAGCGCATTAGGGTCATTATCATCTTTTACCATGTCCCATGAGTTGTCTTTTTGAAAAGTATTTAAGTAGCTATGATCTCAGGAGGAAAGTGACTTTAAAGTTACCAAAGCCTAAGACCGATATGGTCAAGAAATCATGTTCATACGAGTCAATTATTCGGTGGAATGCTCTGGAAAACCAAACGAGGTCTATTCGTGACATTTACGCTTTCAAAAAGGCCATGAAGTGTATTTTCAAGCCACATATATTGTGTTGATGTACTAGGATGAAGAATTTTATTTTAATTTTATAATTTCATTGTTGCAAATAAGTAGAATTTTACATTAGTCTTACTGTGATTAGTTAGGAAGTTTAATTTTATTGTTATTTAATAAACGACCACATCTGCTTTGCTGTAATTTTTAATCGTGTTTAAATGAATGCTATCATTATTATTATTATTATTATTATTATTATTATTATTATTATTATTATCTCTTTTATCACAGTCTTTGCTGGTATTCTTTTTGTGCATCAGCCGGGCGCAAACCATGCACCTAGAGTGTCAGTCACTTAAGTCAATCATACTGTTCATACACTGAGCACCTCTCTAAGGATTCGTGCCGAATCCAGCATGCAGATCTTTTGAGTCTCTGCCATAGTAGCTCTCTCTGATACTTTCTTGATGTTTCTACCATACCCTTCTTCACTGTACCAAGCGCACCAACAACCCTAGGGATCACTACAGTTTTCATATGCCACATTCTTTGTAATTCTAGTTTAGGTCTTTCTACTTGCTTTTTTTTTTCGGTTTCCTTCAGTGCAATGTTTCTATCTGATGGAACAGTCATATCAATCAGTTTGCAGGTGGAATTCACTGAATCTTTAACGATGATATCTGGTCTGTTCGCTGTTATAGTTCTATCAGTATTGACTGGCATATCCCACATGATGGTGAAGTTATTATCTTTATTGTGCATCACGGCCTCCGGCGCATGTTCGTACCATTTGTCTGTAATCTCTATGTCATGATCTTTACAGATGTTCCAATGGAGATATGTTGCAGCATTATTGTGCCTGGAGATGTACTCTGTTTTGACTAATACCTAACATCCGGATACAATGTGGTCCACTGTTTCTTCATGTTGCGAACACATTCTGCATTTGGTCACCTCTTGCTGGCCACATATTACTTTCTGGTAGTTTCTGGTGTTTATTGCCTGGTCTTGAGCTGCTACAAGTAGTCCCTCAGTTTCTCCTTTCAAATTACTCGACAACCATTTGTTGCTGGTGACGGTGTCAACATGAGGCTTCTCAGGGATCTTTGGGTACTGGCCATGCAATGCTTTGTTTTTCCACTTTTCTACTTTCAATGACTTCATCTTTGACTTAAACACGTGTTTCAGGGCTTTAGCATTTTCAGAGGCAGATTTATCTTCTATGTTCTCAATCTCTGTCATTGTTACTTCCCTTTTGAATTTTAGTAGCATTCTTGGATACTGAATTTTTGGCTCTAGATGTTTCATGTTCTAGCACCTGCTTTGGATACTGCCCTTCTTTGTGCTACAGATAGTGATCAAGCCCTATTGTTGCTGTTTTGAATGCTGTTTCTACATCGATCAGGCCCCTACCTCCATCTTTTCTTGGGATGTACAGCCTTTCCACATCTGCTTTAGGATGTAACATCTTGTGCATGTTCAACAGTTTGCGTGTTTTTTTGGCAATCTTCTTCAGTTCTTAGATTTTCCAGTCAATGATGCCACAGCTATATTGCACAACTATTGATAGCTTCTACTTTGTTTCTTCCATTGAGCTCAGTTCTTAAGATTAATCTTACCCTCCTATTACATTCTTTTCTTATCTTCTCTTTCATTTTGCTATGCTGGATACCATCACTTTCATCTACACCCAGGTATTTGTATACTCCTTCCTCCTTCATGATCCAACTCTCGTATTTCTGTGTCATCATCTATTACTATGTTTTCATTATTATAATTATTATTATTATTATTATTATTATTATTATTAACCGTTTGAAAGATGTTATATTGTCAGATTTAATTCTCGTATGAGGCAGAGAGTTCCATAACTTTGGTCCTTAGTATAAAAAAGTGAATTGTTTGATTTAGTTCAACAGACTAACTCCACACAACTCTTATACTCTCTATTTTAATACTTACCATCCTTTATCTTTCCAATGTATTTATACCCTTTGTTCTGTCCTTTGATTGAATCAAAGTTGCTCTTGGTTGTATTTAGGACAGTTGGCGGTTTTTTCCATGTCTTGTTAGCACGAGTGTCGAAAATCTGTGCAAAATCATTGGCTTTATCCACCAAAGCAACCTGTAGATGGTAGTAAAGGCCTCCGTGCGTCGAGAATTGATATTCATAGAGGCGCCTGGATGAACCCACATTGCAAATTCCATTTCCATAGGAATGTACGCTGTCGTTCTTTTTTGTATCACCTGCAAAAAAAGGATACAGTTCAACGTTTATTCATCGCTTCAACAGCATCTTTTAACATCATTCCATTCGGAACTTCATTTAAACTCCTTAAGCAACACGATCTGAACGTTAAGAACGAAACTCATGATAGCAAACGAGTTTGCCCGTTTAAAGAGCTTCCTCGCCGAGACAAAACGCCGCATCATTTGAACCACGAAATTTTCTTCAGAAGTCAATTTTCTTCCATTTTTACCTAGGGAACATCAGTCTTGCAGGAAGAAGGGGAAAGATCCGGATGTTATTATCTTTATCTTGATAAAGATAATAAATTAATGTAGCTTCCGACTGTTCAAAAAAAGAAAAAAGAAAAAGAAAAAGCCAGGAAATGGAAAAGGTATTACGGAGACTACGTCCACAGTCGCATTTTATACGAGCCGAAGACATATCTGAGCTGTTAGTTTCCTTTTTGGAATCTAAAAGCACAGTCATAGATAAGTTTGAAGGTTGAAAAACTTAACTTTGGTTTATGGTGCATAAATCGTCTTTAACTCTCCAGATAAGCACATAGAGCAGTGGACTGATGTGTTCCCCATCCATTGCTTACCTGTCACACCGGGTAGCATGATTACCTTATTCTAAAAATGGATTTCCTGAGATTGAAAAAGCCTGGAGATGTGGGAAAACTTAAGCTTACCTTTACAAACCCGGCAGCACTTCCCAGGAGGTTTAAAAGTGTCGCTGATGTTGCAAGGGAGAGTTGTGGGACACTTCACCTGCTTGCAATCCCCAATTTTAGAGTTCTGTTAAAGGAGACGTTATAGGTTAAATGCTCTCATTTAACGTAGACACACTTACTATAGTAGATATAGACCACTTTCATAAATGGCTGCCAGATTAATATTCTTTTGTTTACATTTAAATTTGCCTGGGTGGCCTCGCTTGAGATAATGTATTCTTTTGAATTTTGTACTGGAGAACGAGGCCACCTAGGCAAATTTAAATTTAAACAAAAGAGTATTAATCCGGCAGCCATTTATGAAAGTGGTCTATACTGCTGTTTAGTTTGTTTCTTCCACATTATTTACTTCTTTAGAGGTAAGGCCTCGACTTTACCATGAAGAGTAGATATACTGCTGTTTAGTTTGTTTTTTCCAAATGATTTACTTCTTTAGAGGTAAGGCCTCGACTGTACCATGAAGAGTAGATATACTGCTGTTTAGTTTGGTTTGGTTTCCGCTCTTCTAGAGTTCGCTATTTCACAAATTCACAGCGGTTCAGCAGCGTCTGAGCCGACAAAGATATTCGTGACACGTTGATGCGGGTAGCGCTGTCTGTACTCTTATAGACAACGACAAATTGGCCGATCAGATTGCGAAATTACCGCCAATTGTGGTAGAATATGGGATTTTAAATGCCCAGAAGCTTCAAGTTGTGAGAAGCCATATGGCACAGTTCATACAGGATTATAACCCGTAAGATGGGGGGTATTTCGTAAGTAACCCGCTTAGGTGGCTGGTATGTCAGCTAATAATGTCCACGACTGAAAAAATGTCCGAAAATGGAGTATTTGGCTAGAAGCAAAGCTTCGAGGGAAATTTGGAAGTTTGAGGATAACCTCTCAGCTAAGGATATTATCAGCTGACATACCAGAAAGTCAGCGGGAAGGTTTTATTAAAAATTCGTTTTTCCTTTGTAAAGAAGTAAACACGAAAGAGTAAAACTGTTAAGCTGGTTTTTTCTCGCTGGCTTTGTTTGACTTCGACGAGAGTAATCGACAAAAATCAATTTAGACGAGGGATATTGCGTGATAACTGTATGGTGACTTTGTACCACGTGACGTTTAGAAGCCAATAAAATTGCTAAAAAATTAGTGAGAAGGGGAACAGTTTTGGGATAAAAATGGGTCTTTTTGTATCTGAACCACCTAGCATCCGAGATCGATTAAAAGAAACCCACTGTGCTATTTGCAAACTTACATTGCAGAAGCAGGACATGCAACTCGGAAGCCCAACGAAAATTGGTGGAGAAAAAGACGTATTGTGAGCAATCGTTAATCCTCCCCATTTGCAGTCACTAGGGGGCTTTGGTTTTGAGTCTGTCAACAAACCAAAAAGACAAACAAATAAATAAAATATAGATGACTAAATCAATAAATAAACGATCGAGATAGGTAGATAAATAAATACTTTGCACCGAAAAGCCATTTGCGTTAATCTGATGGACTTGATCCTCTGCGTGTAATAGAGATGGATGGAGAGGGGCTGATGAGACCTTGTGCCGAGTACAATACTTACTTTGAATACTACTTATTATATACCTTGATTCTTAGGAAAATACAACTCAGTCAGGATTTTAGGTGCGAAAGATCCATGGGACCTACCGGAGGGGCCAAGACCGATGAATGAATGCCAGGGTATGGTAGAGGCTCTTATTGGGTTGAAGTGTGTTTGTGTGGGACGGGGGTGGGGTGGGGGCGTGCCTTGTGAAGATTCATTACTGCTATTCGTGGATATTATTTTACATGAATCTTGGTTCATTTGTCCACCGAATGATTTTCAGCTCTAAGTGATAACGATCCTTGCCAATTTGGAAGAGTATGAAATAATTCATTACCTGACAATGGAAATCCAGGTTAATTTTCACTAACATATATCGCGTAAAGCGCCGAAGGTTGGGTGCGATATCGGGGCTAAAATTTAGCAAAGAGTTTATTTTTATCCACTTACAAATTTGAGTCTTAAAATCGTTTATAAAAGATGAGGTGACTGGAGGCACTTTCAAATGTCAACTGTCCAACTTATTTTTCCGGTCCAGGAGGTCAAAAGTTATAAAAAACTCCACCACGGTTGTTGGTACATGAGTATCGCATCGATATAACTACCAAACGAACGAGGTCATCCACTAAAAACAAGCACGTTCGACTAACTGATAATTCATCAACTATGAAAATGCATAGTTTTTGCGTTGCATGGAGACAACCTCGAATTAACTTGGAACTCAACATGGAATTCTTGACTTTGCATCGGATTAAGAATTATATTTCTGATCTTGACTTACATTTCACGTAAGAAGATGAGACATCTTCAAGTTCACACAGCAACCAGTTGGACAATCAGACGAAGTTTGATGCTACTCTGGTTTAGAGATTTCATGAATGTCATCGAAATTAAAATTCATCGACCGAACGTTTCGACACTCCTGTCTAGTGCCTTCATCGGGCGTGATCTGATCGTTGTGGCAAGAGGCCCTTTTCTATGCTCAATAATTAGCTGCCCTATTTTCTAACGAGGTGTAAATATGTATATGTGCACGATCCTTAGCAGTAAAGCACTATTTAAGCAATAGTGAAAATCAGACCTGAAAAAAAAATTCAGGCCTGTACGGGATTCGAACCACTGACCTCTGCGATACTAGTGCAGCGCTCTACCAATTGATTTTCACTATTGCTTAAATAGTGCTTTACTGCGAAGGATCGTGCACATATACGTTTCATAACCGCAGGTCATATATATGTATTTTCATATGTTTGTTGTTTGATTTATCATCTACGGGTTTATGTCGAATTAATCTGATGGCCTGCTCCCAGTTGGCTTGTTAGCTCAATTGGTAGAGCGCTGCACTAGTATCGCAGAGGTCAGTGGTTCGAATCCCGTACAGGCCTGAATTTTTTTCAGGTCTGATTTTCACTATTGCTTAAATAGTGCTTTACTGCAAAGGATCGTGCACATATACGTTTCATAACCGCAGTTCATATATATGTATTTTCATATGTTTGTTGTTTGAGGTGTAAATAGGCGTCAAGTAGTAGGCCGCCATCATCACGATTTAAAGGGGCGTGGGCGGAGTTGATATGCCAAGCTTCCAAACAAAGACGCTGGTGGTAGCGGCGATTAGTGGAGATAATTTTAAAGTTATCCTACCCAATTGTATGGTTAGCTGGGCATGTGTGCTCCGACAGAGCTGAATGTTCTTTTTTTGCAAAAGAAGACAGCTTTCTGATGCTATTTCCCACGCGTACCAAACTACGTTTAGTCTGTCCGCTATACTCGTAATCAAAGTCATTGCACGGAATCGAATAAATAGCATCGGTTCGTTGTTCTTTCGTAACGGGATCCTTAGGTTGGCAAAAATATGCCCCAAAGTCTGAATAGGTTTTTGAGCAACTTTAACGTTGCGGCTATTCAAAATTCTCTTGATGGGCTTGCAACACCTTGGATTTAAGAAATAACAGCAGAACCAGTCACCAGTTCCTTCTCATCGGGAGTGTTACTGGTTGTAACTGGTTTCTGGCAGTTACTGAGAAATGTTTTGGTATAGCCATTTGCCTTTAAGACATCGGAAACATATTTTCTCTCCTCCATCTTGGAATCGAGTGAGAAGACAGTAGACCTATTAGCCCTCCTGAGTAGAGTTTTAGCTACGGACTTTTTATGGAAAATAGGGTGGTGAGACTCAAAAGCGAGATATTTGTCGTCGTTGGTCGGTTTACGATAAGCACTTGTCTCTAATTTCCCTGGTTCTGCATTTAAATCGAGAAAGGGCAATTGTCTATCCTTTTCGCGTTCAAGGGTGAATTGGATAGACGGCTCCACTGAATTCAAATGCAGTAGGAGGCGTTCCTCTTGGTTTTCGGATACCGCTGGAATGACATCATCGACATATAGAAAAGTTCATGACCCATTTATCTTTCAGAGTTGAGCCTGAATCACCAGGAGACCTCTTACTAAGCAGATAGCGAACTTTTAACAGGTCTCCTGGTGATTTGGGCTTAACTCTGAGAGATAAATGGGTCATGAACCTTTACTCTAAGGAGTTCTCTGCGCTGGAACGGAGTGGTTTAGAGAAAGGCCTCGAGTAGGATAATTCTAAAATTATCTCCACTAATCGCTGCTACCACCAGCGCTTTTGTTTGGATGGTTAGCATATCAACTGCGCCCGCGCTCCTTTAAATCGTAATGATGGCGGCTTACTACCCGACGCTTATTCACACCTCGTCAGAAAAAGGGCAGCTAATTAGTGAAAATATAAAAGGATCTCTTGTTGCAACGATCAGATCACCCCTGATGGAGGCACTAGACAGGAGTGTCGAAACGTTGGGTCGATGAATTATAATTTTGGTTACATTTATTAAATCTCCAAACCATGTATGACGAGACATATTAGTCGTCACCTCACTCCGTGACACTTAGGGACAAATAATGGCCATTAGGGACAAAAAATGGCCCTTATGGGCCTCTACGGCTCGGCCACACATAACCTCTCTTTTTGGTTTTGAATTTGTACCCGCGTGATGAGCTAACTTCCTTCTCTGGATTAGAGGCTGCGTTACTCTTTATTGCTTGATTTTTGTGTAGATTTTACCTTTTTTGCCTTTCCTTCTTCGGGACCATTTTTCGAAGTCGGCGATAATCCAATTGCGCTTGCGCACTGTAAGGAAGTCAAGGTATTAGGCTGGGGTTAGCATTATGTTACTTTATGTTAGTTTAAAGAATCGAAATTAGATATTAGTAGTCGAGGATAAGACGAATTCTCTTACGTTATGCGTGCTGGGGATCAGCTTATTTTTGTCAGGAAAAGCGAAGGTATCATTGGTGTGAAAGAATAGTAAAATCAAGTAAAAAAAACACTGGTTGGGGTTGGCTGGAACAAAAATTTAACCGCCATATGGGAAGGAAGATAACGCTTCCAGTAAGTCACATATTGTGCATATGAATTGATAGTTCCTCAAGGTAACATGGAGAAAGGATTGGTTGCCTTGTAAACCCAAAATTAGCTTGCCCTTCAATTTTATCAAATAATACTTAACCAATCCAACTCCTTTCGCGTTTTCGCGGAATGTACCCGAGAATTTAAAATACCATAAAACAATGAAATAAGAAAGCAAAGAAAAACTTATACTTGCATTACAAAGGGGGAAGGATTTTCTTATCAGGAATTTGTCAATTACACCTAACAAAGCACATTTGATGGGTTGCATCACTATCACATTGTGGATAGTGTCATCATCTTTCATCATAGAGAGGGCCAAGACAAAACAATAAACGATTTCACATTCATCTGAAATATCATTTTTCCCTGACATCTTTCAGAGATTAAAATTCTCCCCGACTCAAAGGGAAATGGCCCGACTTTTCCCTGACCTATTGCAGCAATGCAATGGGAACTCCTACCTCTCTGTCTGAGCAGACTTCTAAAAATATTCTCGGAGGGTTTGGGAGACATTTTCCTTTTCACTTCAACAGAGTTAGCTGAAATGAATTTGACAAAAAAAGCAGGAAGAAGGAAATAGAGGTTAAATTAGCACGCATTAGCCCAGCACCTTAAAAAATTTTTTTTTTTTTTTTTTTTTTTTAATTACACCAGTATTACGAGCTGAAAAGTGAACATGGCATTAGTTTATTCTGGTTAACTTATTAAACTGATGAAATGTAAAAGCGTCCAGCTGAGGTATAAAAATTGACCCATACTAATGAAAAAAAAAAACTGATCGACGATGAATGAATCAAAAGGAAATCTTCCAAATTGCTCTGTCAATTAAGAATACCATCAAATCCCCAAAAGTGATTAGCCATCTAGAGACTGAACGGAGCGCTTATAAGGCAATGTACACACTTTTTTATCTAGACAATGCAAAACCGGGGCCAATTTGCGTGTCCACCATGTGTAACTGGAAAGAGCGTAATACATGTCCAATTTATTTTTCCCCTCAGTCAGTCAACGGCTCAAACAGGTAAAATGGTCTTCCGCTCTTAACCGAGCAAGAGACCTAAAATTCTTTACTGCATAATTTTGATGTGTAATTTATCAATATTTAAAGCAAATTGATCGGAACGATGGTAAGATGTACATTTCAGGGCGTCCATAAAACTGTTACCTAGGGATGCAAATTACAACCTTAAAAAAATGACTCCACCCCTATCTTTTTCATATATTTTTTTGAAACAGTGGTTGGTGGGGAAAATTTGACAATTGTAATTCTAAGGAATCACCTTAACCCGACCTTGCTCAACCTTGTTTTTAACTGTTAGGTGCAACCAAATGAATTCAGAACTCACCTCTGATAAAAAAGCGTACGGTAACTTAATACTTTTTTTTTATAGTGACACTCGACATTATCCTGAAGAAAAAGCAGCTGTTGGTGATGGTTTTTACACAGCGCATATACAACAACGATACTTTGAAAACTGGTCTGATTGCAAGCGAGAAATAAATGAACAGTTAAAAGTTTCTTTGCTCTTACTTTGAGTTCTCGTTTGCTCCTTGTTACATATTTCTTCCCTCTGATTGGCTTTTGCGATTACTTTAGTTTCTGCTTGACGACACTCAATCGAAATGCAATTTTTGTTAAATTAGCACAACTTTGCGGTTAAATTTGGGTTTTATCATCATCGATTCACCGAGTGGTGCCTCGATCGGTATCGCAAAGAGAAGTGACCTGTTCGTCAATGATGAGAGTCGAAGAGTTAAAATAAAACTACTACCTCGACAGGAAGGGCAACACTCCCCTGGTTTCGGCTGAGGGTTTGCACAGGTTGACGCAGGACAGTAGGTCTTATTGCAGTGTACTGAAGAGTTCTAAGGAGTAAAGTGAAACAAAAAATTGAAGCCTGTTCGCTACTTTACTTTGCTTTACCGGGTTAAAATATGGATCTCAGTATTTTCTCTTTCGACACTTGATCGTGCCTACCATTTTGCTTTCTCTATGGTATACAGTGATGAAATGTGTTGCTTTACGAGTTTTGAAAATTCCTTTGAATTTATGAGGCAAGCCACACTTTACATGTACCTGACAATTGCATGTGATGCAGAGGTCGTTCGCCTGAGGCCATTCTGGGTGCCAGGTCTCCTTATGATTGTAATATCTAAACATCATATCGCACCCTAAAAAAGAAAATTTCAATTCAAAGGCTCTAAACTCAATGAAAAAGCAAAGAAAAAGCAAAGAAAAAGCAATGTAACTCGTTCGTAATAATCTCAATGACCAAAAAAAAAACATTAAAAACAATAGCAAAAATAACAACAGCAACTCTAATAGTACGCTTCATGATTGATTATTCTTATAGAATGTTCAAGTACTTATTTTTATCCGGCAACAATGTAAAACGAGCCAGACGCATACAGGTTGATTTCGAAGTGGTATTTATTTCTAAACAAAACCGAATTCAATGTAAAGTAGTTTTAAGGGAACGTGACTGGCAGGACGAGAATGATAACAATCGCCTCCCTCTGCAGTGGCTCAGGTTTGATAACCAAACTCGGCGTCAAATGGGGTGTTGAGTTCGTTGTTAGTTCTCAACTTTCCTGAGAGGATTTTCCTGCTTTTAAGTTTTATCTTTTTGTTTTGTTTTCCACTCGCCAAAGTGTCGTTGCTAAGATCATATTTGAGATCTTACATTTTGCTTCATTTTGATTTCTACATGTTTTCATTTGGTTTTTAATTTTCATTTGTTTTTCCAGGTCGAGTTCGGAAGCTTCTCCTGACTTTCGTTGAATTTCTATTTTAGTCCTGTTTTATTTATCTCCTGCCGACCCAAACAAACAAACAAAAAAAGATTAGACATACCCATTGGAGACCGAAGAGTCTGCAAGTGACCTGAAACCATAATAGAGGAGAAAATGGTTACTTAAACATTTCCTCCAAGAGCACCTCCTAGAAGTTATCTGTAAATTCCAAAAAGGAAAGGAAAAAAATTGTTTTAAAAACTTGTTGGGATGTGTTTGTTTTAAAGTGGAGGTTGTTCCGAATTTACTGAATCAAAAGTTTCATCCCTAATAAAATTACAGCCTTCTTCCTTCATTGGATCCTTTCACATGGCTTGAGAACTAGACATGTGAAACACAAAGAAAACGAGGGGAATAGTCCATTTCCGAGTTACATTTGGCCTCTTTTTCAAAACGAGGCCTGGTGCTCAACCATACGTATGAAAATGAGTTTAATTTGCATGTGAATGAAAACTTATTACCATACGAAAGGATGAGCACCAGGAATCGCGTTGAAAAAGAGGCTAAAGGCAATTCGGAAATGGGCTGTATGGTTGACCTCTCTGTTCCTTTTCTCTTTAGCAAGGAAAGAACTGGTCATCACTTGAATATCACTCTTTTATGAAAGAATTAAAAGTTCAGAATTTAAGTGTTTGATACAGATCCATGTTTGCGTCAAGACAATCATACCCTTCATTGGAATTAATTATACCTGCACAAACAGGACAACAAGATCCTTGTGCAACTGTTTGATTCTGACAGGTTAGGACTGGACAAGTTCTAATGGCACAGGTGACAAATCCGTCCTGCAATTGTACGCAAGAATATCAAAAGAGAAACAAGCAATAAGAGAACACATATTCATTTAGATTGCATGTGTTTTAGGCCTCTTCTGATCTAATCAGACAAGTCCAAAAACAGGCCCAAAACAGGCCTTCAAAGGAAACCTCAGCTCTACACTATCGTACTATGCAAAATTTTCAGCGAAGAAAGTTCCCTCATCAACTTGACACAAATCCTTTGAAAAGTTAAATAACAAGTACTTATTGACTTAGTTTGGCCAGGCTGGTAGGGAAAATATTTGGCTCCAGGCCACGATGTACGGAGCGCGCGCAGTGAGACCGTGCCTCATGACCGGGAGCCAAACATCTTCTCATTCGGCCCAATCAAACTCAGTCAATAAACATTTTATTATAGACTTCTAGATGTTGAAAATTTTAACTAAATGGAACGCGATAGAATGGCACACGTAGCCATACGAGCAAAAAAATTTTACAAATAAACGTTTCCTTTATTTTCAAGTCAGAAGAAGATTCTCCAATTTCCTTGAAAAAGTGATATTATTTTCATTTCTATTTTCCTTTACGTTTTTGCAACGAGGCGACGAGAGTGCAGCAGGGCCGGACCGGCTCACGTCAACCAGTCTGGCCCTCCACACGTCAGCTTTCACTATTATTTTTTATGGGATTGCGCATGCGGGGCCGGGCGGATCATATGATAAGTAATCGTATGAAAGAAGCTGCAAGTAATAATCCTAATTTAGTTCTCAAGTAACAACCCAATATATATTCGCATACTAGGTGTGATACACGTGCGGTGAGTGATAATTCGTAGTATGTGAGTAACAATTCTTTCTTTATTCTTCTTGTCCCTGTACTTTATTCATGTTTTATCATTTATTAAGGCTGTCATAATCCTTGACTGGGCCGCCCAGAATAGCTCGCCTTATTGAGAACTAGTCCAATGAAACAATGTGCAATGTGCGAAACAGCTAATAATTAAGATTACTCTTGTGTTTATAGCTGGCCAAACGTACAGACCATTACAAAATAATGTCAAAAGGCCTCTCGAAGATTCAAATATTAGCAGAGCCTCAAGAGAAACTTATGGGGTATAGACATCCGTATAGTTAACAATTATTGACCCAAGCGGAGGGTGGCAGGTGATGGATGTTTACCGGTACCCGCGACGCGGCAAGATAATTATCCACCGCTAACCACCAACACCGAGGTAAAAAGATTGTTCCAGTCTATACTAAAACATTCAGATAGTAAAGCACAAAAAGATGATTTTAATTCATTTATTCCTAGTATGATTGTAATATTTTCGGGCGCAAATCCCGCGCGAGTCGCTTGAAGGCGAATATCTAATAATTATACCATGAGCGCGCGTTGGATATGATCGCCTTTATCACGCCACCGCCATCTTAGATACGTCAGCGGAAATGAGACACGAAAACGAGGTCACGCGGGGTAAACAAATATGGCACCAGATAAAAAAAACATTTGAATTTTTGCATAGAGATTTAATAAATATTTCACTTCTTTCAAATGATTCGATTGTAAAATATGCAGAAGATAATCTCCCTGTCCAGCAGACGCTTACTCGAGGCTATCAATTTCTTTAACGAAGAGTTTGTTGACGAAATGGAAGGTAGGTTTCTAGCTTCCAGAGTTTCTTGTAGTCGAAGTGACATCCGTCTTTATAGTTTTGTTCTTGCATTAGTCCGACAATGAATTATTTTGATATATTCTATTAATAATTGCAGTGAAAATGGCCAAAGATGCTGATTTAAGCATAACGGTTCGAGCGAGATGCGACCTTAGCAGGAGAAAGAACGAGGAACCTCATTCATTGTCAGTTATTTTTAAGCGCTCATCGACAGTTGAAATAGTGAGAAATGACTGCAGCTTTGTGAATTGCCGACAAGAATTTCATTGCGAGAAAATTTACTTTGACAGACAGTTTTTTTTTTCAGAAATGCAAGAAAAACTGCACCTTTATTATTCTAACTATCACCTTCCATCATGTATCCAATAAAAAAGTACTTTATTACAAAAATATTTATTTTGCAATTGACATTATGTCAACCACATGGCCCTCTCTACGTGAGCTCTTAAATTATGTACCTGCTTGCTACTATCTATTCCCTTCTTAGAAAACTTCCCCTTGCTTGATAGAAAGCTAGGCATTGTAACCTTACATCCTATTGGCTCTAAAAGATCACCAATAGTAAAACCATTGTCTGCCATGGTTTTGTCACCTTTGTCAAGCAAATTCAAAAGTCCTGATTGGCTTACTAATTCTTTATCGAATATACTACCATCAAAAAGTGAGCTCACATGAATCACCTCACCCGAGGGTGATATAACAACATTGCCTTTGTATGTTGTGTGGCTCTTGTATGATGAATAACATGCACTGTTTCAAACCATGCTAGAAGGTCCCTGCACCTTGATTTCAGAAGCATCTATGATGCCACGGCACTTGGAATACAGTAACTTAAAACATTGTGGCATATACTTATCAACTTTAGCTCTAGATGGCCAGATAGGCAGGGTCCCCAATACAAAATACAAAAAGTTAACCCATGATAAAAAATACAGAAAGTAAACCCATGATAAAAATACACGACTTACATATACAGTTGAAACAGAAATAATGAAATCCTCAGCCAATTTTTCACTTAAAGTACCCAGTCTTAACGTAGTGAGGCACAAATAAAATTGGTCAAATAAAGAAAGTTTACATGTTTTGACAGTGTTGCTCATGACTTCTACATCAGATTTTCCCTTATTCCTAATCCGCTGTATTTGTCACCAAGAATACATATTGTCTGCGGTTGGTTTATCTCGCCTAATATTTATAATCCATCGACGCTTTAAGGCTTTGTCTTTCGGAAATTGATGAAAAGAAATGATAAACTGCTGCTTTGTTCTATTATTTTGGCACAAAGGCACGCAACAACTATCTCGGTTCGGCATGATTGCAAACGTGACCTTGACCACACGTGACCTCGCTTTCATGTTCAATTATGTAATGAAAAATTCAAGATGATGGCTCCGTGATAAAGGCGAATGATAAATGGCCAAAGAGGAGTGTAGCACCAAGTTGGCTGTACAACTTGTAAACCAATCTCGTATCCAATAAGCGCGAGTGAAATGAATTTTTCATTAAATTTCATTTAATCCTGAACGTTTGGATACTTAGAGCCTTTTCCGGCTCCGAAACAGTTGGCGCAATGCGTTTCCATAAAGGGTGATTCGGTACATGAGCTCATGATCAGAGTCGAGTGAACAACTCACAAGACTATAAATGTAATATCTGGATTTGGGTAGACAACCACAACGTGCCCTGGACGCTATCCACTGTTTTGGTCTATACTTAGTGATGTTGCCACCCGTTAATAACAATTCAGGAGTGATATTGCTTACCGTACAGCTACACTCTTTACACTGTTTGTCATTCAGTAGAATCGTGGACACGTCTTTCCACACTTCGCCGTGATTCCTTGAAATGTTTTTATGGGTACAACTCCTTTGTTGCTCCTTTGCCGAAGGAAGAGCTAGAAGGAAAATACGCAATACGTCAGACTCACGTAGCCCTTTTAAGAACTCATCTTTCAAACCGGCAGTCTAAATCCCACAGGTATCAACAAACGCTTTTCATTCCACTCATTTATTTGTGTTTTTCTCGTTGCCGAGTTCCCACCAATCACGTAGCTCCATTTTCTGCGTTTAAAAGCACACACAACCCACAACTCCTCTATTCGCTCCGACGAAGGGCTAAAGCTCGAAACGTCAGCTTTTATAACCGTAACGGTGGCCAATTTACCATTTCAACTTTGTTGATATATTCAAATTATTTCGTTACCCCCACCGACGCAGCCCCAAACAGTTTCTTTAGAAACTATCAGCCTTTATTTATTTATTTAATATACGTTTAAAACACGATTTTCTATTCTATAACAAAGTTCTCTCTCGGCGATTAACACAGACAAACGCAAGTACACGATATATGAATTAAAACAGAAACATACTTAGGAATTTTAGACATTTCCAAGCCACATCTCAAAAGTTCTCATCATCTCCCATTAAGTTTTTTGTTTTCTTACATTTTTCTTTGAAGTTCACTTACTCAACTAACATCTTCAAATACCTGGATTTGATTGCGTCCTACATGTCGAACAGTCTATTAATTCAAACATCCCATCGTCTGACTACAATGGAAAGCAATAGCAAAGGGTCCAACCAGAAACTCAAACAACACTTGCAGAAGCATCTTTTTTTCGTTTAGTTACAAAGTTTCATTGAGTCGCATCTAAGAGCTAAAGACATTTGTCCAGTTTGGAAGCTACACCCATTTTCAAATTGTTGTTTCTCTGTAGATCGAAGTCGATTTTGTCTTATTTCTAAGGACGTACAAGATCCCTTTACTATGTTGAAATCTTGCTTTTGACTTACGAGCTGCAAGGCTCGCATGCTCTAGAAAGATGTTGTCACCATCTCCACCAGTCAGGTGCAAATTTTCAGTAATTGTCTGTAAACATTTGAAAGAGGGTTGAAAGGGTCCGCGCGATACGATGAGTGTTGGACTGAGAATGATATTGACTGTAAACAATCAAAGTGACACTAAGGTAAGTTCGCAAAAATCATCTGAATGTTATTACCCCTAACCCTAAGAACCTAAAGTACTAAACGCCAATGATTCTGTGCTTCCAAGAAACAGAAATGAGCAGTCATTCCCACAAAATTCTTTCCCAATTGATCCACCTCTTTAATAAGATGCATGATCTTCCCACACCTAAACTGAACAGCACGGAATTTGCATATTTAATAACCACATTACGAGAAATAATAAATCTCTTGCCACACTACTTGTCCTTATGCTTAGCATATCTACGAGCGAAAATAGACTGCGCATTCTTGGATTACCGATGCATATATGACATCCAACCATTCATTTCTTATGATTCGTTGCCGTTTCCATAATTAGGATACTTACCAATTTGCAGGCACATTTTATGCATCGAAAATAACCGTTTTGCAACAAGAAAGGGTTCCAGGTGTCTCCAAAGTTGTAAAGAAGACCGTTGAAATTACATCCCTTAGGGGGTCCTGAAAATGGTGAAAAAAGAATTATAAATAGTATAGAGAATTATAAAAGTAGTAAATACTTTTATACTATTATAAAAAATAGTATAAAGAATTATAAATAGTATATAAAAAGTATAAATAGTGGCTTTTCGCCGTTTTGTCTCAACTTCGATGTTAACGGCTGGTCTCGAGGGCACCTGAAAGGCAACTGTCCTTCGTTCCAAATGGCACAATCGCGTTACCTTGCAGATGGGCAAAAAACGATGGTAAGGGAAGGGGGGTAAAACAGGAAGTGGTTTTCCTGTTACGTTACGACACCAACATTTTCAATTTGAGGTGAAACTCAGCAGATTTTCGTTTTGGCATAAGCTCAACAAACGTCATTGTCACTTGTTACTGAGAAAAATATTTTTTAGATGGCTGCATCGTTTTGGAGATTTTCGGTTACGATAAAATACTGGAGAGAAGTTTGATGCTTGGAAGAACTTCGCAACTGCTTACTCGAGCATCTTGATACAAATTTACCATTTCTTATTTGCACAAGAGATATGCCAAGTAGACAGCGAGATTACCGGTTTACCGTCCCCAAATATAGGTATTTGATGTCTAACAACAGCAAGAACACAAGTGTATATTGAAAATTTTACTAATTGTACATGCAGATTGCAATTGAATGATAGAGATCCATCATCTAACATATTCTTATTATAGTAACTAGTAAAGTATTAATTTCATGTGTGCAATAATTCATTGGAAACAAAAACCCTTTATATAAAAAAATGACAAGTATGTAATAGGAAAAACATAGAAACTCATGATGAAAAAAGCTATTTATTCACAACGGCCTTACATCCTTGATAACGGCAATTTGTCTTAAAACAACAACGAGATTAAGTCAAGTAGTCCTCGTTAGTGTCCTAAAATAGCCAATCATAATTGATATTTGTCTGGAACTAATTGGATTTCGATAGATTCCAATCCATATCCTAAGAAGATTAAGAATTAACAGAGAGGTAAGGATTTTGCATTATTGGTAGCCACATAAGAGTTATTCTTTGTGGAAAAGTTATAAGTAAGAGGGCAATTTCTTTGGTAACAGGTAAAGGATTAGGGTGACAAATTTGCGCTTACTAAGTACTTAATATCATTAATCATACAAGGGGAGATAAGAAAGCGGGAGCGAATTTATAGATAGTCTACGGAAAAAGTTAAGACAAGACAAGGCAACGCTTACTGCAACCATTGAACGGTAGGGTAAAGTATTTAAGAATAGCCGTTATAAAAGATGTTAACATAAACATCAAACCATCTCTAAAATGAATAGTAGACATTCTTACCTTGAGATTCAATGATTGGGAAATATTTTCAACATTGTGGACAATGCTACTCTTTTCCGAAAATAATTTACAATAAAATGGTTTTTTTCTTTATTAGCCTCCGTGAATAAAGCTTGTTTTTATCTCGCTAGCTTTAAATTTTTCTTTCGTTATCTAGTTACAAACGAAAGAGGTTTAATCTCCAATTCTCCAAATCTATTTTTTTCCATGAAATTTTTCACCAAAGCCGAAACAGTTGCTGTCCATAAAAACCAGTTAAGTAGACGACTAGTGTAGAATTTCGCCGCAAATAAATACGAACTGAGTGATTTTTAACCACGGCGGAAGGACCAAGGGTGGTAATCCGTGAAAGTGTCAACTTAGGCGAGTGATAGCCAACAGCCAAAATTCTAATATGAAAAAATAAAGCGATGAACTTGAACGTTCTGGACATCTCACTGAAATTTGTGTTGTTCACTCTCGTTAGAATACACAGCTACCTCAGTTTAACCAACATGAAATGACATGACCCAAGATTACTTGACCGCTTTTGGACCATTTTTTGTGTATAGTGTACCTACGAGATAACCTACAATATTCACCCAATTTCGGTTTTGCACTGGCCTAAAGACACGCGCGCACTTTCTGCTGCTCTGAAATAAAAGTTATCTGTTTCTTCAAATTTCTCAGCAAAACGTAATGTGAGGAAACTTACCTTTTTTCATACTCTCACAAGAACCTATAAAAAGCACAATGCCAAATACAGCTATGCTGAAACAGAAACAAAAGAGAAACTTAAGTTAAGTATTTCATGCGAAGGAGCTCCCCAGCATAGCTACTCGTTTATATTTTCAGGAATAGACCCCTTCTATAATTAATATTCTTTCATGTTCTTTCAAATATAATTGGTAGCCTCGCTTATGACTGAAATTGTTTCTATACATATTGCCGAGGCAGGAAAGGCAAATTTCCATGAATATAAAAGAAAGGTAATAAAGCCCGCCATATTGGAGGAGGTCTATACATGCTGATTTTTCCACTCGAAACCTTGTTTCGAGTCACAGCAGTTGCGCTTCGAAATAAGGTTTGAAAAAAGCATTAGCTCGATTATCAAACTTACCAATGAAACGCTTTCATCTCAGATTGAGATAAAGAAGTGACAGTCAGTCGTGTGAAATTCTTTACGGAAAAAATAAAAAGGATTTATCTCTGGAAATATTTAATTATAAACGTCTGTCTGGAGTCATTGCCAAGGGAAATGATCACGTGAAGTATCAAAGTCCACGAAACTCGGCAATACATTAAAAAAAAAAAATAGAAAAAAATGTATAGTAGTCACTAGAAGTTGCCAGTGACCTAATAATAACGTCATTTGAGAGTAAGGCTTTAGATTATTGAAAACTCTAAAAATAACTTTAGATTCCTCTTGATTTATTAAGGAAACCACAACGGTGACAGCATGTGTTCTCCGACACATCCGTTATAACACTATACATATACCTATTACTCAGCCGCTCTATGAGGAACGAAAACGCGAAATGACCAACAGTGCTCTTAAACCAGGAACAGACACCCTATCGGCAAATTAGACTTGCTGCATTCGCGTGTTATGCCGATTGAGAGATCTTACGCCGTAAAAAACCGTGAACCCCATGTAATAATGACTGAGTGGGAGGGCCATACGGCAATATATTAAGCTGGAGGTCACGATGGTCGCGAGATCCTCACGACCGAGGACCAAATATTTTCCCTTCCGACCCGACAAAATTTAATCAACAAGTATTCATCATATGACCCAGAATTTAAAAAATTTGGAATTTTTCTTTAGACTTAAAGACTACATGAATACAAAAGTTTCCCACGGTTCGTCTTGTCAGCGCAGGAACCTCACCGTTTCATCCAAATTTTCCCATATCTGTTTTCTTTAAGTTTAAGTCGGTAACTCGGAAATGGGCTTTTCTTCCAACTGCCTAAAATACATCTTTTATTCAAGACGCCCAATACATATTATGCACGATCCTCGCAGTAGATAGCGCTATTTAAGCAATAGCGAAAATCAGACCTGAAAAAAATCAGGCCTGTACGGGATTCGAACCACTGACCTCTGCGATACTAGTGCAGCGCTCTACCAATTGAGCTAACAAGCCAACTGGGAGCAGGCCGTTAAGTTGATTCGTAATAAACCCGTGAAAGTGATAAATCAGATACAATGAAATATATGAAGTTCATATATTTTGAACTGCGGTATTAGATACATATTATGCACGATCCTCGTAGTAGATAGCGCTATTTAAGCAATAGCGAAAATCAGACCTGAAAAAAATCAGGCCTGTACGGGATTCGAACCACTGACCTCTGCGATACTAGTGCAGCGCTCTACCAATTGAGCTAACAAGCCAACTGGGAGCAGGCCATCAAATTAATTCGATATAAACCCGTAGATGATAAATCAAACAACAACAAACATATGAAACATATGTGTGAACTGCGGTTATGAGACGTATATGAGAACGATCCTTCGCAGTAAAGCACTATTTGAGCAATAGTGANTGATTTATCACTTTCACGGGTTTATTACGAATCAACTTAACGGCCTGCTCCCAGTTGGCTTGTTAGCTCAATTGGTAGAGCGCTGCACTAGTATCGCAGAGGTCAGTGGTTCGAATCCCGTACAGGCCTGATTTTTTTCAGGTCTGATTTTCGCTATTGCTTAAATAGCGCTATCTACTACGAGGATCGTGCATAATATGTATCTAATACCGCAGTTCAAAATATATGAACTTCATATATTTCATTGTATCTGATTTATCACTTTCACGGGTTTATTACGAATCAACTCAACGGCCTGCTCCCAGTTGGCTTGTTAGCTCGATTGGTAGAGCGCTGCACTAGTATCGCAGAGGTCAGTGGTTCGAATCCCGTACAGGCCTGATTTTTTTCAGGTCTGATTTTCGCTATTGCTTAAATAGCGCTATCTACTGCGAGGATCGTGCATAATATGTATCTAATACCGCAGTTCAAAATATATGAACTTCATATATTTCATCGTATACGCCCAATCTCGCTAACCTTTTGTTGACTGTCACTGCAGCAGAGACACCCGATTGCTCGTGCAGCTGGCGGCGATCCGGCGCAAAGTGGTATACAACAGTTCAATTCGGATTTATGAAAGCAGTCAATTTCTTGCTGTACTTTTCGTTCTCATACAACCGAAATTTCCCGATTATGCCAAAAATGTCCGTTTATAGAGAAACGAATACACATATCAGTTAAAGTTTTGGTTAAAAAAAAAAAGTGACGTTAAAGAAAGCTTTACTTTAGCGCAGACCGTGGACGTCACACGTACGGGAGTCTTTACCAATCAGGTACTGCCAAGTTTTAGCGACAGAAAAGCAAAACTTGAGATTTTAGAGCTATGGAGACCAAGAAAATCCTTGTTATAAAACAGTGACGCTTATAACGCACATATATTAATTTACACACGTTCATAAGCATGTGCACACAGCATTTATTGAGTTTTTGACAGTTCTGGCGTTTCACTGTCGAAACCAAATGTCTCCAAGACTCCAAGATGAAACAGACAATGAATTCTAAGTTGTTTACCTCGCAGGTTTTAAATTTTTTTCGTTGTCTCTCTCTGCATGATTAGAAAAAAAAATTATAGAAAAGTTGAAAAGAAGTTTGCAGGTCCAATAAAATATTCTGATTTCAAAATAATAAAGGCTTCCTTCTTTTTCATTGGTCGAGAACCATCATCCATTAAAGTGTTGACCAGGGGTTGACAAAGTAATAATGTTAGGCCATATTAGGCAAAACGAGCAAGTGCAAAATGTTTTTCTTTTGGACGATGAACTGAAAATGTATTCAAACAGCAAATGCAAAAAAATTAGTCAACACAAACTCCAGCATAGCTTGAAGCTGCTATGGTTAAAAAAAGAAGGAAAAAAAATTCTACAACCACTGCACTAACTTCATTTACCAAATTGGCGAAGCTGCCTAAATGCAGTGACCTCTAAAATGCGAAAAGATCTCTAGATAAATACCGATGAAAATCAAAGGGTGGCAACCAACGATGTTTCCTTTCCCAAATTCTAGTCAACAGGTAATCCAGCTTCCATCAGATAATTAAAAATGTTCAAATTAAGCTTTGTCCTAACTCACTCAGCGATCAGTTATGCATGAGAAAACAAGATATAGTTTGTTTTTAAAATTCTGTATTCTGGAAACAATCAGGGCGTTCTGTGACAAGTTTTCAAGTAACCATACATGATAATGTCGATTAACGTCGGTCCAATATAAAGCCATTAATGACAATTCCAAAAGAATTTTTTTCCAACCAATCATACCGAAATTTTGCTATGTTGAAGTAGTTTAGTCTTGAATCCTGGTTCGTTACGGGACAGTAAAATTGTCGTCGATCGAATTATTATCTTTGGTCGAGTCAACATGCAATGAAATTTGTATCTGGCGTCTACATTGCAATTATAGTGACATATTATGCTTGACTGAACTAAGTGTTTAATTCGAGTGAAAGCAATATTTCAAAATGCCATCGTAATACATGTCCAGGGTTCGGGGATTGTTTTCTATCCGACAACATGATTTGCACTGTTCAACCAAAGCACGACTGATAGATATCGATGATGTAAACCTTGGCTAGACATTGAGATTCCGTTTACAATGCAAGCACTCGTAATGTTTTCTTCGACCAAGACGTCTCAAGATTGATCGTTTTCAATACAGAACGTTTGATGTGTCCAGAGAACCAAACACCATCGAAAACTGCTCGAAGACTGCATGACTATTAGACATCTGACAAGAAGAAAAAAAAACTATAAGAACTTACCAAAGGCTTCTAGTGGACATGAAAGTCAAAGCGCGGTTACCACTCAACATTTTGTTGTTTGTTGCCCAAGCAGTTATACACAAACTTCTAGACTTGGACTTCAGGCCTTCGAAGGGAAAAATACATCGCACAAAGGGATCTAGAAAAAAAAAAAAAAAAAACAGAACAAGCGTTTTAGAACCAGCAGCTCCATATGAACTGGTAGTAATATTCGAGATCATCTGACCATAATCATAACCTCTTTCTTAAAAGAAGAGAAAAGAAGGAGCGTTTTTAGAACCATCAGTTTTAAATGAAAAGTTGGTATCAATATTCGAGAGCATCTGACCATAATCATCAAGCTGAGTTTGCCGAATGTTAAGGTGGTTATTCTGCTCCCTCACCCAACCTATTTTTCCAAGGGAGTTGCATCTCATACATTTGGACAACTCTACATTTTTTGAGATAGGGAAGCCTATACCTTGCTCCGCAGTAAAGTTATCTTGTTTGATCCTTATACTTTCTGGTACTGTTTATGTCCTATCGCTATGTTTTTGTGAGTAGTATGCATCATTTGCTTCCTTAAACCCGACAATGATAAAGTTAACCCTCCTCAAAGAATTTATAGGCGAGAAGATTGCAGGGTGCCGATTGTAAAGAACTTTCCCAAATTCCTCGTGGTTTCACAAAGCTGTTTTTAAATTCTTTATTTACTATTTGATTTTCTAAGTGGAGTCTAGGCAGTTAGTTAGTGGTAAGAAACGAGAAAGATTGTTATGAATCCGTGAGGGGTATGCAAGCTGCCAAAGAACTTAAATGGTTGCTACAAAACATCGGATGATTTCAAAAAACAATCAGAGATGTACAGGAATTTAAAACTTCGTCTTCAACGAATGTTTTGTTTTGCGGTAGGAGTCCATGTTTAATCTCTGCAGAGACTTAGAGGAGGGTATTGGCGACCTATTTTTGATCAGCGCTGTTTTCCCTTTTAACTCTACTTGAGAAGAAAAAGCCCCCCAAAAAACTGAATGCCACGACTAAAGAAGGATATACCTCATTCCATTAGATGTGTTACATTCTATACAAAAATGGAATAGTTCTCTCGTCATTTTTCTTGTTGCTACTCCTGATCGTTTACAAATGTAACCCGCTGTTTTGGTTATCTCGAGGTCAATGGGATAGTTAATACGTCGATTAATTTTAATTACATTCCTCTCTAAGAATTTCACACAACAGGACATAAAGATTGGAGCGACCCATGCGTTTTATTGCTTTTAGAATCTATCCTTTCCTCGACGCAACCACGTAGGAAACGAAGCATGAATTTATGAAATAAAGAACTCCTAGCCCTGCAATCTAACAAATGTTAGATACTAAAGACGATTCACTATCAAAAGGGCCTACCCTTAATACTGGTGCAAAGTTTTGTTGATTATTCAATCCCTGTACCAACTATGAATATCATGTTCACTGCACATTCTAAGGTTCTGTCTGAGGCAAGTGTACTTGGGATTAAAATAAATTTTACACTCGTCACATCAAAACAATTCTCGCTGTGGTGTGTGTTCAAAATGACCTCTGTTATCAAAAATTATTGGATCCACGAGGCTCATTTATTATGAAATCTTTGTCTTTCCGTAGATTTGGCAAGGCGAAAACAAAAAGAAAAAAAGAAAAGAAAGGCGATATAAAAACAAGATTCGAGCCGTTTTAAGCAATGCAAAATTACCTTCGGCTGGTGCGATAACAGTACACAAACACTAACTCAAGCTGGATGAATGACAGCTACATATAATGAATCAAAAGACGAGGACGGGCTGCAGGAGAACAGACCGAGACTTTAAGTCTAAAGTTTTAACGATGTTCACAAACCGTGACCTCCAAATTGGACTGTGTGCCATGATGTGTAACGCCATGTGACATAGACGGTTGCACGTGCACTATCCCAAGACGATATCAAAATTTTGTCTCAAATGAGGGCGTTCATCACCTAGTCATCCATTAAGTGCTCCACACGCAGTCGAGAGAAACTTGAAAGAGCTGTTGAAACACATTACTGATAAAAAAAAAATTGCTCGAGCTTTTAAGACTAATTAATAGCATGGAAAGATAAATTTCCCTTCTTTAGGGCTCGATTCAAGTTGTTAAACTGTCGGTTTTCATATATTTTCGTTCAGTTTTTTCACACACACTTCAAAATGATCGCGCCACCAGTTCAGTCACGTTCTGATCACGTGCTTTTTAAGTGCTGTCTGCCACGAAATGTACCGTCCAAAGGATACATGTTAATTTTTACAAGTCCACATGTTGATTTATCAGGAAATGAGAACTGAGTTTATAGCAAGAGGTATTATTAGTGTATACAAAACCAAAATGAAGCCGTCACAAACAGTTTGCTGAAAGAAAAAAATCTACAAAAGTATGAATCAGCCGTAAATGATCCAAAATAGATCAGTACTGAGCGCTAAATTAATCAAACTGAACATAAAAACATTTTTAAAAATAGTTATGTTACACCTTGATGAATTCCTTTAGGCTCTACTGAATAATACAATGAAGCGATGCACGGTAACGCCAAACAAGCGACGAGAAACAAAGAAAAGGATCTAGATATACAAGAACTCTCAGGTACCACAGTCAACACATCGACGACGGCTGAGCGAGTTAAAAAGTTCCTTGGCTCTACAGGAAAGATCTGAGTGACTATGTGCCATAAATTCAGCAAAGCGTACCTAAGAAAAGTAGCTATTGATTAACTTGTACAGATTGTAAATGTCTATAGGCCTTACTCAGCCTTAAGGATTCTGTTCAGATTACACGGAACAACAATTCAATACAGTTGGTTATTAAACTGTTAAACTAATGAACGTACACGTTAAAAGTTGCGCTCCATTGGTAAAGAAAGACAAAGATCTTGAGAAGTATTTTTAAAAGGAAAAAATTATCTAAGTCTAAGAACCACAAGTAAGAGGCTTATACAGGTAAGACCATTTGAGAGTTTTTCAATAACTCAGATAAAGGTATTTAGAATTAACACCATTGGGGTTGCAAACCTTCCAAAGAACAAAAATACTTTTAATACGAAACCGCTTTTGAATGCAAACCGACAAGGATATTTTTTTTAATTTAAAATAGCCTGCAAAATAATTGCAACATTTCAATTCACTAAATATGGGTATAAGTAACACAGATGATGGCCGGTTTCAATTTTACGGATGCAAGGCAGACATTCTCGGCTTCGAGAAAGTTTTTCCTAGATTAGCGGTAGAAAACTTCGCCACACCGTCAAAAGGGGCAAAAATACCATTGGTCGTATTAATAGAAGCATTCTATCTTCCTTGGCGGAATTTCTAAATAAACGTCCGGTCTGGAACAAAAGATGTTATCGATCGATGTTGTCTTATCTTGATGTAGAGCTTTTAAATAATGCGTTTTAATGAAGGATGTAATTTATGATTATCTCTGAACATGAAATTGATCATCTCAGCTAGTAAAAAAGTGAGAATGGACTGAGAAGTATTGGCCTGTGTCGCTTGACACCTTCAGTCCTGTTTAGATCATTGGTTCTCTTCCTTACTCGCCACGCGAGGAACATGCAACAATCGGCCATCTCCAACGTTTCACAAAGCTTAAGGGAGTATAAAAATGGTTTCACGGTCCACCAGAAGCTAGTTCTTATCTGCGTCCTAAGGAAACTTTGTCATTTCTCCCTTAGCATGGTTCCATCTTTCATTCCGCATGTTTTCTTGTAACCCAATTTAAAAAAACACTAGAATTCGCAAAAATGTAGAAATAGGAACAACTTGAGAGAGCTGATTATCTTTCACAAGCGCTTCTTGCTAAGCTGTTTATAATTTTCCTTTACGAAGGCCAAACGAGTGGTCAAACCAAGAACTAATGCAACTCAATCTCGTCAACAGAAATCACATTCCTCACAAAAATTTCTTTCCAGCAATGTTGTCAAAAGGAGAAGATTCACATAACTAAATGTGCTCCAGCAGAAAATTTTGTCAGTTTCCGTTGATTGAGTGAGAGCTTTCAAGATCGTGACCGGTTTGGTGTACCTTTGAACGACATAAGCCGGAATTGAAAAGAGAAAGAAACCATTCGTATTGCAGATAAAAGTTGCTTTCAAAGTCAGGAAAATAGAGAAGAAAGAACAGATTTTCACCAGCATGTTTCCCTTTTTTGCCCATCGATGACGATGATTGAAATCCTTATAGCAATAGCAACTCACCTTATCGCCTCAAAGTCCTGTACAGCTTCGACCACTTTCTTTCGTGAATTAATGTACTCTTGTAGAGTGATAAAACTGTCCATAAATGCTTTTCAAAGTCCTTGCACTCGGAAGGTCATGAAGACCTTCGAAGGCAGTGAGGTGGGGCAAGTGTCGCGAAAACAACTCAATTAAAGTATAGACAAAGGGTGTGCGTGGTGAAAGACAAAGTTGTCCCCATGGCAAATGGCCATGTTTGCTCTTGAATGAAACATTTAGATGTAATAGAAATAAAACTGACGGTGAATCTGATTTGTGCCCAAAATAAAACTCAAATATCGTGTCAAAGTAGCAAGCTAGGAATCAACATCGATAACTGTGATTCACATTTTGGATGGCTAATCACAGGATCTATTTTTAACCTAAATATTTTATTGATGTAATATTGCTTTACAATTAGGCTGTCTACTGTGGTGAAAGAATAGCACACACCTCAAATTCTTGGGCTGACGCAAATTCCCAGACATACGCTTGTTCAGCATGCAAACCTATTCTTCTTTTCTTCTTGGAGATCAACTTATGATATCCCAGAATCTTAGCACCCTAAGTCTCCGTTCTTAAAGTCTTGAGACCATAAAGAAATCGAGAGTTAAAAGAAGTAAAAAGAATGATTGGTGGACCGACTCCGAGTACAGAAAAGTCCAGAGCTTCCGGGCTTCAAGGCCTCCGGGTTCCTTTGATGACCTTTTAAGCAACCTCATTCTGAGTGTTTTGATAACTGCCTCCCTATTGTGTTGTGATCAACAGGATTTGTTGACAGTTCCTGACAAAGGACGTCTCACAACTCAAGTGAGTTGCCATGATCCTAAGTACAAAGTACTTTCAACTGGAGGTGTCATTATACAAATCAAAGGTACACAAGCATCTTGTACGAATGTCACATC